TTTTTTAAAGAAACATAAACACTCATTCTTGAGGGCCTGAGCCAACTGCTAATTTGTAGGAACAAGAAGAAACTTCCCCAGTGAACAAGTTATTCCATATTTGAGCATAATGTTTTGTTTATTTTTTATTTTTTTTCCACCTTCATCTCAAACATTTGCCATTGTCCACTGTCGGAGACAGGATAATATGCTAAATGGAATTCTGGTGTGACCTAGTATGGCAATTTTTATTTACTTAAGTTTCTAAAATTTCTAAAATTTGACTAAAATATGTTTGAGTGGATTGAGAGTAATTTTAAATGGCTACAGTCCTATCTAGTGCACAGCTATATAGAAAAGATCATTACAACCTGATTAGTTTATACTGCACTTCAACTTTTTTTATCCTGTATACCATCTACCCAGCTGTACCACCTCAAATGGAAAAAAATAGATTTTTATTTTAATTGGCATAATTTACAAGAAAGATTTAATAAAAGACTAGAAGCCTCAAAGTTCTCTAAATTGTTTTAAGTGCTGCAACATTTCTGCACAAAGCATGCTTTGGTGCAGTTCTATGTTGTCATGATTTTAAATAAATTGATAAATTGAAATTGCTTTGCTTCATTATTTTAACTTTATTATAACTCTTTATAATTTAAAACTGATTTTGATGACTTCATTAAAGAGTTTATATAATCTTATTTTCTTTCTAGCATACAGCTTACTTTGTCTTGTCCTTTGCAGGAGCATATCAGTATTGCCCACTGTGGCAGCATATAACAACAGAGCTCAAGCAGAAATCAAACTTCAGAACTGGCACAATGCTTTTCAGGATTGTGAAAAAGTGTTAGATATGGAGCCTGACAACCTAAAAGGTGAAAGTAAACTGGCATTTCTCAGAATTTTATTTCTAGTAAAAAGTCTTTTTTGGAGTTTGAAACACAGGCCTGATTTTTTTAGCATTCATTGAAATCAATGGGAGAACGTTGACTTCAGTTGTCAGATCTCAAATGTGTGAGGAAAATGGTCCAGACTAACTCTTCCTATGCTAGTTTAAATGGCGGTTTGGAGATTTGTGCTGGTTAGTGCTGCCTATCCTTGATCAAGATTCTTGTGCTGAAGTGACGGTAGGATAGTGGTGTGCGGTCACATCATGCTCTCAAAATGATGACTGTTATTCACATCAAGTGGAGATGTCTCCCAATCATCACAGAAAAGAACTCTTAACAATCTTTAAGATGCCTTGAAACAGCAGTGAAAGGTGCTTGGTGCATGTTTTCTTACTAAGTTAAGTAAGTGAAAACAGTTAACTAAACTTATAAGGGGAGAGAGGGACAGGTAGAAAAATTAAGAGGAATGACAGTTCATGTATCACCATATATATATGTAGGGTACATTATATGAAATTACATTATCAGAATTTAAAAAAAAAATCCGTAACTTCGATACATAGCTATTATGAAATGGATGCAAGGCTTTAAAACAATTTAGCCTTACATTTCACATTGTACTTTCTCTAAATGTGAATTAATTGTAGTCTGCAGAATAATTTACAAGAATACATTCTAAACAGTGTGTTCTTTGTTTTTTATAGCTCTTATGCGCCGTGCCACTGTACACAAGTATCTAGGGAATTACCAGGCAGCTATAGAGGATTTGACCAAAGTATTACATGTTGAACCAGAAAATGCCATAGCTAAGGTAAAGACAATGACTCTGTATTTGTAGAACAAAGATGTGTTTATAGAACAAGATGCATGTTGCTTGTGTTATATGTGTTTGATGCAAGATAAAGTTGATATACTACAATATAGCAGTACACATATATCTACTCACTTTTTTATTCAGGCAAACTTCACTGAATTTCTATCTGGCTCACTAAATGAATTTATATTGAGGGCTGAGCTTCTACTTTTTTTAAATAGCAAATATATAGATGTGAACTGGAAGATTCTAGCTTAAAACACTGGTTAAAATGTTAACATATAATACATATTTTAAATAACTATTTTTAGAATATACCTTAATATGTTACTCTGTGACTATAGATGAGATAGTAATTATAATAAGTATCAGAGGGGTAGCCGTGTTAGTCTGAATCTGCAAAAGTGGCGAGGAGTATAGTTAGTCTATAAGGTGCCACAGGACTCCTCGCCGCCAATTATAATAAAAATGTGTGACTGATTTATATTCCCAGTCATATAATTAGTTCTAGAGGAGACATTGCTGAATCATTTTGGTGTTTTTTTTTTCCCACACAAAAAACTAAAGCTTGTTATCTTGTTTTCATACCATTATTAATATTTACATTTTACTAGTAATTTATCTAAAAAATTATAATGGAGTAATTCACGCTTTACTGTTTTGCTTTCTTTATTTCACATAGAATGGCAATCGTCCTCTTCTTCTCAGCCAAGATTTGATTCACTGCTTTCACAAAATAAGTAGTTTCCCATGAATTTCCAGTTGTTATAATAGGATTTAATGTTCTGATCATCCTGCAAGGTTCTGAGCATCTCTGAAGGTGTTGAAGCACCTTCAAATCCCATTGACTTTCATGGGTGTGGAGTGCACCAGATTCCTTTGCAGCTTCACCGGGTCAGGCCCTAAATCCATGCATAGTATGAAAGCGTACAAAATAAATCCATTACAGTCAACTCTCTCCCCATCCTTGTTTTTAAAGTCCCGAAGAATAGATTGTCTTTGTCAGTATGCACTTTTAAGTCAACAAATTAAGGGTTTTGTTGTCTGAGGTAGGAAATTTGCTCAAGAACTGAAATTCTTTTCTTGCCAATACCCAGCATGCATCCTTCTCATATGTACCAACAAGCTGTTGGCTTGAGTGCCATGACTAACCATCAGTGCAAATTATCAAGATTCTGCTGTGCTTCAATCTCATTATTACTGTGGAGATTTGTGATAGTAATGTTTTCTTAGAATTAAATAGAAATGTTGCAAATGATTGAAAATGCAATTTTCTGTCAAACTTTTTTGACAGATTTTATTTGTGTGTGTGTGTGTGTGGTAATTGTGACATTAAGTTGTCCTTTAGATATCAGGTAAATCACAAATTCCTCATCTCAGATAAAGCTATTACATCAGAAGTTAAACATGCAGAAAATATTAGAGAATATATATTGCATTTTAATTTCTTTTTAAAACACACTTTCTCTTGTTTTCCTTTAGGAGACTTAGTGTAGACAGAGAGAGAGAATGTAGTCAAAAGTATGAAATCAACAAAGGGGCATTCTCCTCCAGCAACCTCAGAATGTGAATGGTAGATTGAAGAAAATACATACTCAGGATAGGTCTACTCCAGGAGTGGGCAAGATATCTCTCACTGGCCAGATTCGGCTCTCCAAGCCACTGGATCCGGCCTGCAGACACCCCTCCTGGGACCCTCAGGAACGCCACAGCTGCTGTTTTAAATGCAGGGTTGCTCAGTGTGACTCTCTACTCCAGAGGGATCTCCCCGACCCAATCCTCAGCTCCTTGGCCAGCAGCTGCTGTTTTAAATGCAGGGTTGCTCAGTGTGACTCTCTACTCCAGAGGGATCTCCCCGACCCAATCCTCAGCTCTGTTGGCCCAGGCGGGGGGGTGGGCGTGGGGGGGGGGGCGGGGGGGGCCTCTCCTCCCTCCCTGGGGTTGAGAGCCACTTGGAGGAAGCAGGCTGCATTTTCAGTGCTCTGGAGCTATAGCAGGCAGGGAGCCAGGCCTGCCTTGGAGGTGTTGCAGGCCGGGAGATGCTTAGGTAAGCACCTCCCAGCCATAGCCTGCCTCTGGTACCCCTGTCCCTCCAGCACCCCAGCTCCCCCCAAGTTACCTTCCAAATGCTCTGCACCTCCTGCCCCAGGTCACAACTCCTTCCCAGACCCTGCACACCTCCTAAACCCCTCCTCTAGCCTAGAATCCTCTCCTGAACCCCCCACTCCTTCCCTGACCCTATAGCCCCATCTCCTGACCCAGGTCACAACCCCCTTTCATCCAAACACCCTCTCAGACCATCTCCTGCATCCAACCTCCATCCTTGATCTCACACCTCCTCCACAGAAAAGTGCAGCCCTTGAGCACTTTCCAAAATCTTGGAGTGGCCTCCCACCAAATATTGCCCACCCCAGATTACTCAAATGCAGCAGTTAGTTTGCAGACAAATCTTGCTTTGGCAAGTTTTACAGTTTGGTTGATTAAGTTAAGTGGTTTGCCCAAGAGAATGCAATTACTGACTTAATTTGTAATAAAAGAACAAAGTTCTTGAATGCTAATAAATAGCTGTAACCTCTAAGACATATGCCAAATTTGGCTTTTTAGGAGCTGTTTAAAACAGAAAATAGCAGCTTTTGAATTCTTCTAGTATTTTTCATATTGTTATGATAATGAAGTAAGTGGGAGAATTGTAAGCTCTTGTAAAATCAGCACAGCTTTTCATCAGTCCGCAGTGCACTTCTTCTAAACTCTCCAAGAAATTATAATTTCCTAAATTTGCTCCTAGCTGTTAGTTTAACTATTTGAAAAGAAAACAAAAGTCTCTGGCAAACATTGGGTACTCCATACTGTGGATTTTGATTATATTTATTTTTAGGCCTTTTCTTAAATTCCAGTGTAGTAATCCATTGTCTTTAGGCCTTAAATCTGTTAGTCTACAAGGATAGAGACTATGTCAGTGGTTCAATTGTCACTGTTGCACTGTCTGCACACAGAGGTAGACACAATTTATGTTTCAAAGAATTATTAATAAATGGTACCTATACATTTGTTTAATATTTATATGCAGTAGGTATTGGATATAGCATTGAAATGGAAGCCAGAAACAATTTAGTTCTAATCCTAGTTCTGGAGCTGACTCACTGTTTAGTCAAGAAGTTGTCTGTTTTCTTATTTTTAAGGTAATACTGATTAATCACTTCATAGGCTTGTTGTAGGCATTATTTAGAGAATGGAAAATGCTTTGCAAAGGTGAAGCACTATCTAAATGCTAATTTTGGAAGACTTCTAAAATAGCTATTATTCTTATACCACAGAAAAATCTGTCAGATATTGAACAGAAGCTGAACGATTTAGAGCCTGTTTCTGAGATTTACACCAAAGGAAAAAGAATACTTATTCAAGATATAGAGGAGTCAGATGATGATGGAAGAGGAGAAAATGAAGAACATGAAAATGGCAGTGGAGATAAAAGTAATATGATTGTTTATGTAATAGTTACCTGTGGTACCAGTCTTTGCAATTTGAAAGTTGTGAGCAGTGTTAATGTCCTACTCTCACTTTATCTTTAGCCCATTTTTTTTTTCTTAACTTTGAAGTGGCACCCAAGGCTGCAGAAGCAATTTTGATTTTTTCCCCATTCTTTTGAGGATAGTGATCCCATTTATTTCCAATATGGTTTTCCATTGCCCTAGAATACTGAGTCCTTGATCATTGAAAAGGACACATCTGCCCAGTTAAATCTTATGTACATCTCCATCTCGTCTATTTTTAGGCCTTTATTCCATATCTGAATTCTACCTCTGCCCAATCTGAGTCCTTTTTTAAAGATCCTTCTTGCAAGTATCTGTGAGAACTTGTTGCTTTTCTGTTGATTAAAATAATAGGCAAAGGTAAAAGGATTAGATGGTGATTTACCCTCATTTACTCATTATGGGACCCAGTGCATTTATTTTTTTCCCTCTCTTCCATTTCCATACACTTGTTCATCTCATCCAGCTATTATATCTAGGAATTTAAAATCCTGTTTAAAATTAAAATTTTAGCTTGTTAACCGGCTAAATTACATGGTTAACAGGTCTGCTATGGTATGCTTTGGGCACAGGGTGGCTGGAGCAGTTTCCCCTCCTTGCATGCCATTGTGGGCCCAGCTGGGCTGGAACAACCTCCCATCTGTGGCATGCCATGGGCAGGAGATACTCTGGTTGGGCTGGGTGCCAATAAACTGGTTACCCCAGTAAGCATGCTGGTAAGGAAATGCTTATTGGGTAACTGGTTAACCCGTTATCCCTTTACATCTCTAATTATATCATGTCTTTTTTAAATTGTAAACTGGCACAGGGACTATAATTTTTATTATTTGTACCTTGCCTAGCACTGTGGGATCCAACCTGGCTGTGGCCTTTAAGCACTACTACCATATAAATGTTGTTGTTAATAGGTTTTCCTTAATGCAGTTCAGGAAGAAAAACTACAACTGTTTGCATAACTATGGCTCGTACACAGGCTGTCATTTGTGCAGGATCATATTTATCAAGGTGACCCAAAGGCTATAATTTTTCTTCAGAATTGATTTTGTGCTCTTCATCTTCAGAATATTGTTTTCTACATTCTGAAAATAACAGTTGATATAAAGAAGACACAAGATGGTGTGGTAATAGGTTTTCTTAAACCAACTTCATCAAATAATTAAGGAATTCATATGCAAACATCTGGAAGATAATAAGGTGATAGATAACAGCCAGCATGGATTTGTAAAGAACAAATCATGTCAGACTTATCTGATAGCTTTCTTTGATAGTTTAACAAATCTTGTGGATAAGGGGGAAGTAGTGGACACGGTATACCTAGATTTTAGTAAAGCAATTGATATGGTCTCGCATGATCTTCTTATCAATAAACCAGGGAAATACAACCTATGTGGGGTTACTATAAGATGGGTGCATAAGTGGTTGGATAACAATTCTTAGAGAGTAGTTATTAATGGCTCAGAGTCATGTTAGAAGGGCATAACAAGTGGGATACCACTGGTTTCAATTTTGGGACCGGTTCTATTGAATATCTTCATCAGCGATTTAGAGATAGAGTATGCTTATTAAGTTTACAGATGATACCAAGCTGGGAGGAGTTGCAAGTGCTTTGGTGGATATCATCATAATTCAAAATGACCTGGACAAACTGGAGAAATGGTCTGAAGTAAATAGGATGAAGTTTAATAAGGACAGTTGCAAAGTACTCCACTTAGGAAGGAACAATCAGTTTCACGCTACAAAATAGGAAGTGACTGTATAGGAAGGAATACTGCATTAAGAGATCTGGAGATGGTGGGGGTGGACCACAAGCTAAATATGAGTCAACAGTGTGACACTGATGCAAAAAAAAAACAAAACCCCAAAAGAAAACATGATTCTGGAATGCATTAACAAGAGTGTTGTGAGGAAAATACAAGAAGTAATTATTCTCTATTCTGCGCTGATTAGGCCTTAGTTAGAGTACTATGTCCATTTCTGAGCACCACATCAAGAAAGATGTGGAGAAACTGGAGAGGTTCCAGAGAAGAGCAACAAAAATTATTAAAGGTCTAGAAAACATGACCTGTGAGGGAATACTAAAAGAATTAGGTTTGTTTAGTTTGGAAAAGAGAAGAGGGGACATGATAGCAGTCTTCAAGTACCTAAAATAGGGTTACAAGAAGAGAAAAATTGTTCTCCTTGATCTCTAATGATAGAACAAAAAGCAATAGGCTTAAATTGAAGCAGGGGAGTTTTAGGTTGGACATTAGGAAAAACTTTCTGCCTGTCAAGGTGGTTAAACACTGGAATAAATTACTTAGGGAGATTGTGGAATCTTCATCATTGGAGATATTTAAGAGCAGATTGGATAGACATCTATCTATTAGGGATGATATAGATGGTGTTTGGTGCTGCTGTGAGGGCAGGGGGACCTTAGGAGGTCATCATTCCAGTCCCTTCCTGTTCTAGTATTCTGTGTTTCTGTTGGTGAGAGATAAGCTCATCAACAGAAGTTGTCAAATGAAAGATATTCATTTGAAAGATATTCTGCCTCGTCTCTCTAGTATCTTGGGGTATGTCTAGACTACATCCTTCTGTCGCCAAAGGGATGTAAGTTAGACATACCGACATTGCAAATGAAGCGGGGATTTAAATCTCCCGCACTTCATTTGAATAAAAATGGCTGCCGCATTTTGCTGAGTCAGCAGTGTGTCTGCAAAAAGTGGCTGTCAATACAGGGATCGGGTGACAAAGCCTTTCTTTATCGCCCGATCCTGTAAACCACATTTTACGAGGCATAAGGGATTGGCCAACAAAGGCTTTCTTTGTTGCCCGATTCCTGTCTTGACAGCTGCATGTTGCCGACAAACTGGTGACTCAGCAAAACTCGGTGGCCATTTTTATTCAAACGAAGCATGGGAGATTTAAATCCCCGCTTCATTTGCAATGTCGGTATGTCTAATTTACATCCCTCTAGCGACAGAGGGTTGTAGTCTAGACATACCCTTGGAGCCAACATGGTTAAACAGCATTGGTATAAAGTATTTTCTGTTCTAGCTTGTTTATTACTCCTTCCTTTGCTTTGCATGTGGCACCCTGGGTATTCACCAAACTCTTGAAAGTGGGTATGAGTCACTTTCCTCTGAGGCTGAACAAGGAACTTTATTTGAATAAAGAAAAAAGAAATTACCCCAAAGCTGCTCTGTCTCTCTGCTTTACTGTAGAACTTCTGCATAGAATCTCCCTCAGTTCCCTGCTGTATGGCTTCCTTCATCAGATTTAAGAATCGGTATTTTCCTCTAATCTTAAGTATCCCAAACCTAGAGGATTCTATGTACTCATGGTAAATAAAATGATCTTGTCTGTATCTCAAGGACTCTAGTAGTCATGTTTGATTTGATTTGATTTAGGTAATTTTAAAAAAGTTAAATCAGGAATAAATTAGGCATTCTAGATTATGTATTTTCATATAATATTTTAAAATATTAACTAGTTTGAACACTCTGGAATCAATACTTAAAGATATGAGGGCATTAAAAATTCTTGTGGGATCATTGGGTTCTTCTTTGAGTGGCCCCGTGGGTGCTCCAGTCCTGGTGTCGGGTCCCGTCCCGGTGCCGCAAATCGGAGAGCTATCAGAGCTGTGGTCCGCCGGACTGCACATGTGTGGCTGCCTCCAGCAGCTTTCTTACCTTTGATGTGTTACGCGAGGTCCTGCTTCGCTCAATTCCTCTCATCCACCCCTGGTCGTGGACGGAGCTCCCTTTCTGTCAGTTTCAGTTTTGATTGTTCTCTTCAAAACTCTTCAAAAACAATTGTAAATAATTCAGAGCCTTTTCATCAGTTACTTCTTTCTTCAATAGTTATCTAGTTGTTTAAAAAAAATTTCCTCAGATGTTTCAGGCAAGCCGTTGCCGCTACCTGTCTAATAAACTGCAATTCAACAAAGTAAGGGGACAGACGGAGGAGAGAGAGCAGCTGGTCAATTTCTCTCTCCCGGCTACATTCAGCGATGCCAGCTTCCCCTGGGTTTAAGAAATGCTCTGTCTGCCGGGAAGCCATGCCAGTGTCAGACGGACATGACTCCTGTGTGAGGTGCTTGGGTGAGACACGTACCCCAGAAATGCACCCACTGCAGTAAGTTAACTGCAAGAGCAAGAAAGGATCAGGACCTGCGCCTGAAACTGATCCTGTATGGCAAGGCGCTGGAGTCTGATACTGTTTCCGTCTCTGAGACAGCAGTCCATAAATGGTGAGCAACGTCTCCTGGAACAGTCGTTATAAAGAAGAAGAAGGCATCCCCAACTCGATCCTTGCCACTGACTACTCGATGCCCTGAAAAATCATCCGGGGCAACGACCCCAGAATATCAACAGGCTCCCAGGGCAAGGAGATTGCCGCCCGCACTCTCAGCCCTGGCTCAGGCGTCGGCACCAGCAGCGGCGAGAAAGCCGGCACCGCCAACGGCTGTTCGAGCGGCGCTGGCTGTGGCGGGGTTAACCCCCTTGGCGCTGAATTCGTAAGTCTTGCCCACGGCACTGCCGGCACCGTGCGATATGCTGGCACTGAGCTCCTCCTTGGCACCGCCAGCACCACCCCCAAGCGGAGTCTCTTCAGCGCAGCAGCCACGTTCGTGCCCCGGCTCTCCAGCAGCATGTGAAATTGACAAGGCTTCCCTGCCTTGCAAAGCTGCGGAGAAGGAAACTTACAGAGCATTATCTCCATCGCCTACCTTCTCTCCCGGACCGTCTCCTTCTCCACTCAGATACCAACGGCACCGAGACTATAGCCTTTCTCCTACTTACCAAATACTTAGAAGACCCACATATGGGGACACTGTCTATATAGACACAAGATGCTCCTGATCACGATCTCGTTCCCCCAGGAGGTCACTAAGGCATTGATCACCTAGACGATCACCGTGGCGGGTCTACTATATCCACAGTTCAAGATCGTCCAGAT